ATTCAAAAATACTTAATTGTACAATTTTAGCCTTTTCAGCAAATTCCACATTTTTTGCAATTGTTTCAACCTTTTTCAGCCTAATTCGGCAATAATGTGTTCTCGCCACTTCCTTCTTGAAATTTAAGCTTCATTCAGGATTTTTAGCTACTTTTCAGCTGTTTTTGTGTGCTAATTTCAACGTTTTTAAGTTAGTTTCCAGTTTTTTGCACTCGTTTGTTTCTTTCAGCGTAATTGGGCAAACATGTTCTTTCTGCTTTCTTCTGCTAATTTATGCTTGTTCTACCTTTTTCAGCTACCTAGCATTTTTTTGTTGTTAATTTCAGCAGTTTTCAGATAAATTCAAGTTTTTCATGGTAATTTTTGCTACTTTCCACCTAATGAACATCTTATGATAATTTCGTCTCGTTATGCTCCTTTTTACTTTTTTCTGCTAGTTTCAGCGTTTTCTTCTATTTCAGCTACAAATAGTTGAAATAGCTACACCCCATGTGTCATTTTTCAACACTTTTTATTGTCTGTCCAAACAGGTCTCACTTGTAAATGTCTTCGAGACTCAATGTGACTTATCTAAAATAAAGGTTGAATGAATTTAACTGTTTTTATGCTAATTTTAGTTTTTTTCAACTAAATCCACATATTTAGCTTATTTCAGCTCTGTCTGCTTCCTTCTGGTAGTTTAAGCTTCTTCTGCTTTTCCAGCTATTTTTGAGCTAATTTTCCATTTTTTGTGCTCATTTCTGCTTATGTAAACCTAATTCCGCATTTTTTTTCCCCTGCTTTCTTCTGCTAGCATGTTTTTTTCTTCATTGTTATTATTTATCTAATTTCAGCAAGTTCTTCAGCAGTAAGCATTGCATGAAGGGGGTTTAGTTTAAAGAAGCCACGCAGGCTCCGAGCAGAACGTGCGGGCTGGACGCACCTGGTGCTCAGTGTTCGACGCACCTGGTGCTCAGTGTTCGACGCACCTGGTGCTCTGTGTTCGACGCACCTGGTGCTCAGTGTTCGACGCCCACACGTTACCCAGAGGTGGGGCAGCGCCCGCAACCCAACACCCGGAAATAGATGCTTCGCAGCAAAATAAGCCCTAAACTTACCGTCAAACCATAAACTAACACTAAAACGAGTCAAGTCATAGTGAGGGAGGTGAACAGTCTGCTGTGAATGAGCACCGTTTGTATTTGAACTCTGACTTCGGGACTTCTCTTCATTCTTTCGTTTTAGCTGCAAACCAACAACTTATTTAGCAGAAAAACAGAAGACAAAGTAACGTGATGGCAGGCTAAGCTGCGTAGGATCCAACGGTTTTCTGTTCGCTGAGGAGCTGCAGTCTGCAGGAAAGGTGAGTTGAAGCACGTTATCGACTTGTTGCACCTGGAGGTGAAGTTTTGTTTCTGCTCTTCGTCAGCGCCCTCACTATCAGCTACTAGCTAGCGGACTAGCTTCGCTAACTAGCTACTTACCTTTCGCCTTACAAAGTTACTAAAAGTGAAGGTCTATAACCATTTTTATCAGTCGGCACGTGTACATGCTTTCGTAAATAATCATAAATATGCATAAAATCATTAGTTTGAGATATAATGCACTGCTTTGGTAAGCTGCTGTAAAGTTTCGTGCTGCAGATTGACGCTATCCAAACTCTCGTCATGTTTTGGGTAAATCTAAAAAACATGCTGTTCTTTAAGCTAAACAAAACGTATTTGGTTAAAACTCTTTAAAATCCACTTTCTTAATATGTTTGTTTAAATTCGGCGGTGTATTAGGGACAGTCTACTGAACTCCCGCACGTCGTTTTCATCCCTAAACAACCAGAATACTCTTCTCTTGGTAATAAACAAATGTCAGATTTGTTCCAGATGTTTTAATTGAACAGCCACCTGATCGAGTCTGTCCTTCGTCTTCTGGTGAACCCAGTTTGACTCCATAAAAGTTGGGTTAATATTTTTATAGGAAGTGAATAATAATAACTAGGTCATAGTGTTAAACTCTGTCTTACAGATTTTCTTGTTTAGGGGCTAACTGCATATGAGGTTCCATTAGTGCCAAAAATAGGTTTATGTGTTTATGTAAAGTGTGTGTGTAGCGTGCAGTGTATATGTAATGTGATGCTAGGTGCATGTTAAGTGATAAGTTAAATTATATGTATTGTAGCATGCCTTTGTATTGCATTGTGTCTATGTGCTGCACCTAATGTGGTAAAAATAAAAAACTAAATAAACAAAATTTTATATATATATATATATATATATATATATATATAATTTATATATATATATATATATTACACACAAACCAGATTCCAAAAAAGTTGGGACACTAAACAAATTGTGAATAAAAACTGAATGCAATGATGTGGAGATGGCAAATGTCAATATTTTATTCATAATATAACATAGATGACAGATCAAAAGTTTAATCTGAGTAAATGTAACATTTTAAAGGAAAAATATGTTGATTCAAAATTTCACAGTGTCAACAAATCCCAAAAAAGTTGGAACAAGTAGCAATAAGTGGCTGGCAAAAGGAAATTGAGCATATAACAAACAGCGGGAAGACCAATTAACACTAATTAGGTCAAGTGACAACATGATTGGGTATAAAAAGAGCTTCTCAGAGTGTCAGTGTCTCTCAGAAGCCAAGATGGTAAGAGGATCACCAATTCCACCATTGTTGCGCAGAAAGATAGTGCAGCAATACCAGAGTGGTGTTACCCAGCGTAAAATAGCAAAGATTTTTAAGTTATCATCATCAACCGTGCATAACATCATCAAAAGATTCAGAGAATATGGAACAATCGCTGTGCATAAGGGTCAAGGCCGTAAAACTCTACTGGATGCTCGTGATCTCCGGGCCCTTAAACGTCACTGCACCTCAAACAAGAATGCCACTGTCAAGGAAATAACAGAATGGCCTCAGGAATATTTCCAGAAAGCATTGTCAGTGAACACAATCCACCGTGCCATTCGCCGTTGCCAGCTGAAACTCTACAGTGCAAAGAGGAAGCCATTGGATGGACTTCCGGTGAGCGAACGCTGGCGCCTCCTGGCTGCCGCTGCTCGTCGTGCTCTTTTGCTTTTTTCTGTTTTATTCAGTCCTTCCTGCCTTTTCCACTAGACCAAGTCTCTGATCTGTCTCAATATCAGCCATGCGGTTCATTAGGATTTACCTGCTGCCTGCTCTGCTTTGGACTCTCCAGCTGCTCATCCACCACCACCCGGCATCTGGCCTTCTCCATTACTCAGCAGTCGAGCTCCTTCGCCTTCGTTTCCTACCAGCTGTGCCACCTGTGCTCCCTCTTCAGGACATTGCCTTCCATCCTCGCCGGAGATACATTCACCGTGGCTCCCGCCATAGACTCCACGCTGACTAGTCTAACCCCATAAACTCCACCTGGTCTGACTCTCACCATTCTACATGCCGCAATACTCGGGCCGCTAACAGTAGTAGCATGTTAGCTAGCCTTGCTCGGTCGGCTAATGCTCCGGTCGCTACCAACTCCTCCTCCGTAAAGTTTGGCCTTCTGAACGTTCGCTCACTCACTGGCAAAGGTCAGCTTATTCAAGACTTAATATCCGACCGTAAGCTAGATTTTATTTGTCTAACAGAAACGTGGCAACAACAAAATGACTTTTTCCACCTGAATGAATCTACCCCACCGGGGTTTGTTTACATCGCCAAATCCCACTAGTCCGGACGCGGAGGAGGTCTCGCGATTATTCACCGTGAGAACTGGAAGGTCACGCCGGTTCACACACCTCCCTCTCCCTCCTTTGAGCACACTGTGTGTCTACTCTCCGGCCCTACCCCCACCATTGTTGCCACTTTCTACCGTCCGCCCAAAATCAACAACTCTTTTATAAATGACTTTGCTGCTCTATTCGCCCATCTCTCAGCTCTTTCACCCAACATTATTCTGCTTGGAGACTTCAACATTCATATGGATGGACAACAACCCCCTCAGAGTCTTCACATCCTGCCTTGACAGCTGTGGCTTCCAGCAGTTCATTAACTTTCCAACCCACATAAAGGGCCACACTTTGGACTTATTATGCTGCTCTGGACTCTCTCCTCTTAACTGTTCTTCTGATGAACTTCCATTTACTGATCACCTCATGATCTCATTCAGTGTCAATCTTAAATTTTCTTCAGAGAAACCTCAACGCACTCTTTCCTTCCGTAATATTAAGAATATCAAACGTGACATTCTTTTGTCTCATATAAATAATACCTTCTTCACCTTTAATTCTTTTAACCCAGATGACCTTGTCACATTCTACAATAACAGCCTCACCAACATCCTTAACTCTGTCGCTCCTCTGAAAACCCGGTCTGTCTCCTTCTCCAACTCTGCACCCTGGTTCACTCCAGAACTCCGTTCTCTGAAATCCAAAGGTCGGAGGTTGGAGCGACTCTAAGAAATCCGGTCTCTCAATTCACAAGGAACTCTATGCGTACCACGTCATCCAGTATAAGGACAGTATTTCTCAAGCCAAATCCAGCTACTTCTCTGACATCATCAGTTCCAATGTTGGCAATTCAAAGACTTTGTTCTCTCTCCTTAACCGTTCAGTCTCATCTCCTAACTCATTACCCTCTTACATGGTTTCCACAGAATTTTGCAACTCTCTGATGTCTTATTTCAATGAAAAGATTCTTTAAATCCATAAACACCTTGGACCTAATACCGCCCCCAGTATCTATGTTGAACTCCCCCCTCCCTCCCCTTCTCTGTCTTCTCCCTCCCCTCTGCTGATGACATTGCTGACATTATCAGCAAGTCTAAGTCCTCATCCTTTCAGCTCGATCCATTTCCCACAGTTCTTGTTAAATCCTGTCTCCCGTCTCTGCTCCCCATCATCACTAACATCATCCACTCCTCCCTAACCTCTGGCATTGTTCCCACAGCTTTCAAATCTGCGGCCATCACCCCCATCAAGAAACCAGGTCTTGACTTTACCAACTTCAGTAATCTTCGTCCAATCTCTAATCTGCCCTTTATTTCCAAAGTTCGGGCAGCACGGTGGCGCAACTGGTAGAGCTGCTGCCTCTCAGTGAGCAGGTCCTTGGTTCAAACCCCGGTCCAGGGGCCTTTCTGGGTGGAGTTTGCATGTTCTCTTCGTGCATGCGTGGGTTTTCTCCGGGTGCTCCGGTTTCCTCCCACAGACCAAAAACATGCATGCTAGGCTGCTTGGTAACTCTAAAATTGGCCCTAGATGTGAATAAGAGAGTGAATGGTTGTTTCTCGTTTGTCTCTATGTGGCCCTGTGATGGACTTGCGACCCGTCCAGGGTGTACCAAGCCCCTCGCACAGTGATTGCTGGACATGGGCACCAGCGACCCCCGTGACCCAAAATGGAATAAGCGGGTAAAGATAATGGATGGATGGATTTCCAAAGTTCTTGAAAAAGCCGTTGCTAGTCAACTTCACTCTCACCTATCCAACAATAACATTTATGAAGAGTTTCAATCTGGTTTTTGCCCCCACCATAGCACCGAAACAGCTCTAATAAAAATAACTAATCACCTTCTTCTTGCTGCTGACTCTGCTCTTCTGTCTATCCTCATTTTACTGGATCTAAGTTCTGCCTTCGACACAATCTGTCATTCTACCCTCCTCAACAGACTAACCTCCATTGGCATCTCAGGTACTCCGTTAGACTGGTTCAAATCATATCTCTCTGACCGCACTCAATTCATTCAGCTCAAATCCTTTCGTTCCCAGTCTTCCCCCGTCTCCACAGGTGTCCCCCAAGGCTCTGTCCTCGGACCCCTCCTCTTCATCATTTACCTCCTTCCTCTAGGTCACATCTTCCGTAAATTTGGTGTCCATTTTCACTGTTATGCTGATGACGCACAGCTCTACTTGTCAACAAAACCAAACTCCACCCACCCACCCTCCATCCTCACCGACTGTCTCAATGAGCTAAATCACTGGTTTTCTTACAATTTCCTACAACTAAACAGTGACAAAACAAAAATCATTCTTGTCGGTACCAAAAACTCTTTCAAAATCAGAAAATCTTCTCATCTCCTTTAACAACTCTCTGCTATCCCCCTCACCTCAGGTGAAGAGTCTTGGTGTCAACCTCAATACCACTCTCTCCTTCACCTCACACATCAACATTACTCTGTCTGCCTATTTCCATCTGTGAAATATTAACCGTCTCCGCCCTTCTCTCACACCCCGCTCCACTGCCATCCTTGTTCACAGTCTTGTGACTTCTCGGATTGACTACTGCAACTCCCTTCTTTATGGCCTCCCTAACAAATCTCTCCAGAAGCTACAATTGGTCCAGAACTCAGCTGCCCGTGTCATCACTCAAACCTCCTCCTATAACCATA